TTACTGATTGAAGCCTGTAGATTGGGAGGTTATGAGGTACCTTATCAAAAGCTTTCTTAATATCAAAATACAGTATAACCACCAGTATCTTTTGGCCACGTATGCGAGTAACATCGCTAAAGAAGTCCATCAGTCATATACTGCATGACCTTGTTCTAATGAAGACGTGTTGTGACGAGTCTATTAGATCTTCCATATTTAGGTGATCAGATAGTTGATTTTGTACCACCTTTTCCATTATGCGTGATATAACTGGCGTGATGTTTATAGGTCTGCAATTTTCGACCAAGTTTCTCGGTCCTGACTTGTGTTTAGTGACTACTTACGTTGCCTTCCAGGTTTCGAGAAACGTACCTGCCTCTAAAGATAATGTGAATATGTGCAGTAATAGCGTCTGTATGTCCTGTCCTAAAATTTTATAAAGAATCGGTGAGATGTCTTCGGTACCAAAACTCGAATTCGGCTTGAGGGTTCTAATGACGGCGGGTATATTACTAAGATTAAAGTTAATGGTACTAAGATAATTTTTGCTAATCCACTTCATGTTAATATCTGGGACATCAAAATGTATCCCCATTTTGGAAAAACCATCCACTTAAGAGTTCACAGATGACAGTTTGGTCATAATACGTCACACCATCCTGTAGTATGGAGTGCATGTTGTGATCTGCATTCATTCTTATGCGTTTTTCAAGAAGACACACGTTTTGGGTTTGAGATGCAGTAGTGAGCGCAGTACATTCCTCTGCTTGTTGATGTTTGTTGTATTGACACTGCACTCCTTCAAACACAGAATATATCTGGTGCAGGGCACTGGAGTCTCTTGATATATAGTACATCCTTTTTGGCTTTCGCGGCTTGGACCTATTCTTTTGGTCGATATAGGGAGTAATTGTTTTGAGACCAAATTTACAGGGAATATTAGTGTCTAGTGCAGATTTGGTGGTGGTATTCAATATTTACAATGTTTCTAACAGGTTATCACAGATAAAGAAACTGCTCCAGTCAGAATGCTTTATTAGAAATCTGAAGTTTTCCCAGTCAGCGTGTGCGAAATCTCTATTTTCAAAAGGCGTATTTATTGTCTTGGACTTGTTGCACTTGTCAAGAATCGGAAGGACGCAGAGAACTATTTTCTGATCGCTGTTGTGAAACGCTTTGCCAACTACCACCGATGCTGATGTGACATTGTGAGAGAATATCAAGTCAATAATGTTGTGATTTCGTGTAGGCAGGTGTACATCATGCTACCAACAGTGATGTCTCAGGACCTAGGTATGTTTACAAAGCACAATGGGCCAGAATGTGTCTTCCAGTTGATTATGAGAAATCACCACAAATAATTTTGTAAGCAAAATCAAGCAAGGCAGCCTTGACAAATGACACACTGATAATAGTGTCAGTTGAACTAGGAGTATTAGGAGCTCGATTTATGCATCCGATTAGTATTATACATTCATGGGTATGTACAGTAAGCCATATGAAATCAGGTAGTTTGCTAAGGATGACATCGCAATGGATTTCCGCTCTCATATTTTTCGATTCATGCACAAGACAACCACAACCCGTCTTGTTGACTCGATCACAACAGCAGAGCTCATAGGTGTCTATTTGGAGGTATGATTCAGTGACATAGGAAGACAAACAACTTCCCGTTATCAAAACAAGTGAAGAGTTGTTTCAAAGTAACAGGGTGCGTATGTGAATCATCTTACTTCGTACAGATTGAGCATTGATTGACCTTAGTGTCACGTACGATGAGTAAACCCAGTGAATTGTTTGGTTTATCATGAAAAGAGGAAGAAGTGGGAGTTTTGGCTCCATATTTATGTTCGTTTATTTTATTACTAAAATGGCTAATTGAGGAAAGGTGGTCAGAGGGTAGTTTGTTTTTAGGACCAGTAGCAAAATGCGACGTGCTTCCGTGTTTAGGAGGGGTAGAGAATGGTGTTTTAGAATTTGTGCAATAGCCAACGTTGTAACTGCCTCTATTACGTAAACTAGGTTGATAACTTTATAGTTCATTGAAGATTCGATGCTGGTTAGCAGCCCTGTCATGGACAATTCTAATCTTTTAAATTTTGGAATTGGCCTCAGCAATGGCCTACTATTAAGAAGGCGATTGGTTTCTGTGATACTACCAAACTGAAATAGAATGGGACAAGAGGCTTCAGTCTCTGCTTTACGTAATCTTCTTGTAACAGACTAAGAATGTGACAACCCACATTCTTGAAGTAAAGTAGTTTTGACAAAATTTACGTTCGCACTATCAGGTGTATTATACACAGTAACATTCTTCATACACTATAGTCTTTTCAACACTTCAGACGATATATGGTCAATTACTTCCTCTGTGTTTTTTTATAATTCCGGGACCAAGATTTCCTGAAACACTGATCAAATATTTGTACGGTAATAAGTCCTAAATATTTTGGGTGAGGCCAAGTTGTATTTCACTGCTCTTAGAACTACAACTGGTGAGATTATGGAGTTTATATCAAAATTGTCAGGGTGGTCACCTTGTTCATACTTAGTTGACGAATGGAGTATATGTCTGGGTGAGTAGTCGAGATCTACGTCGCTGGGTTGTTTGTGATAGACAGACGTACTTGCAATCTGTGAGGCGCTATAGAGTGTCCGGTCGTGGGTTTGTTGAATGGTTGGGTACAGCCACACTTTCTAAAAACTGCTCACAGCAAGTGACACTTTTGAGTGGACTGCACGATATCGATTCGAAAGAATTGTGGTTGATTGTAAATCTATAAGCGAGACTCAGTGTAGGGAGTCGTCATGCCCAAGTAAACAGTGCGTGTCTAGTGTAGCTGTAGAAAGATCAGAGTACGATGGGGACTGATCAGTGTGTTTATATAGCTTCCCGCCACTCTCTTAAGCGACAGATCTGGACTTTTCGAAGTATCTATAGACATCAGGAGAGACGATATATGTATCTAGATGTCCTGAATGTGATTTGAAGGAATGTATATATAATTAAAGACTAATCATAATAATAATGATTTATTCTCAAATAACAGTCTGTTACATGAGGCATGTCAGTCTTCCAGAGAAGATCAAATTGTTACAAAAGTTACAATCTTCACTGTGGTAGGTTACTTAATTATTTTGATACTTCACAAGACGCCGCTAACCTTTTGGCTGAACAATACTCTTGGACATTGCAACCGATCCACTTCAAGTATACTGATGACAGCTTCATTTGCAACTGCATATGACTTTCCGTAGTGAACCTGAGCGTTGACTTGGTGTTCGGGAAACTGAAGCACCTAAGAAAAGACATTTCTCCTGGCTTAGATATGGTCCATTCTGCTGTACTGAGGGAAGCAGCCTCAATCCTGGCAACGCCGCTTAGCGTGATGTTCTCACACTCGCTAAGCCGAGGCAAACTACCGGAAAATTGGAAGCTGGCTCAGATCACACCAATTTTCAAAGGTCGACGCAGCGAACCTTTAAGCTACCGACCAGTGGCTCTTCTCTCTATACCTTCAAAAATCATGGAGTCCCTGATATGCGATGGTATACACGACGATTTATTATCCCTAAACTTCTTTTCAGCCTAACAGTATGGTTTCAGCAAGGGTTACTCTTGTGTAACTAACCTACTGGCTGCGGTGGACAGATGGGCAAGCATCCTGGATTACAAGGGGAAGGTTGATCTCAGTTACCTTGATTTCTCAAGAGCCTTTGATAGGGTTAACCATAGATGTCTTATCAATAAGCTCATACCACCTCTAATTGATTGGCTCATTTCATACCTGAAAAATTGACATTTTTAGGCCAGGGTTGACTTCACTTTGTCTCAGGCTATGGAATGTTCTGGTGGGGTCCCCCAGGGTTCAGTACTAGGACCTCTTCTCTTCTTGATTTATATAAATGATATTCCTCAACAGGTGTCGCCAGACTTACCAATTTTTGCTGATGACATGAAACTTTGGAGAGAGATACGCAACCAAGACGATATACAGACACTTGAGGAGAATCGGACTCGACTTCAAAGTTTGGCAGACGACAACGGACTTACCTCTAACACTTCAAGGTGTAAAGTAGTTCATCTGCGACATACCGCAGACTACAGTTACAACTTAAGAAACTCCACTCTAGTAGCATCATGAGTCGAAAAAGATTTAGGAGTCCTACGATTTGAAGTCTTACGCTAACTGTGACAAAAATGCCTCTCGAGCAGACCTTGCACTGGTAACGTTAAAGCGCATTTTGGCCAGTTTGACGGAAGAACTTACCAACTTTTAAACAGTTTTATCCGTCCCCATTTAGAGTATGGAAACAGTATTTCCTCCCTCACTTCAAAACGGCAAGGACACTCTGGAGCGTATCCAACCGCGAGCCATGAAATCAGTTCAAGAACTCAAATTTAAACCTTATGAAGAGCGCTTCCAATCACTTAGCGTTTGCCCATTAGAGTATAGGCGTCTTGGAGGTGACCTTCTGATGGCTTAAAGTATCCTTAACACTTCAGGAAATCTTTTTAAATACCTACTTAAGCTTAGTCTCAATACCAACCTAAGGGGTAACACCCAGAAATCGGAGACACGACATAACAGAACGGGCTGTAGACACAACTTCTACTCCTTAAGAGTTGTCAAATGCTGGAATTCGCTGCCGGCCGGGCTAGTCCAAGCGACTTCCCAGGAGTCCTTTATGAGGCAACTTGATCTATTCTTAAAGTCTAAGGATAGTATCATACTATGATTTACCAATTTCTTTTTCTTCTTTTATCGTTAACATACCTAGGTTCCTGCCTGGAGTTATTCTTTATCCCCTGCTACTAGACACGGAGTCCTGTTAAGTGAAAGCTTTTTCTATTCCGTCCACAACAATTTGAACCATTTGAACCTATTGAGGATTACTAAAGACCTGAAACCGTACCAAGACAATAAGGGAAAAACCTAAAAATTCGTTCAATCCATAAAGCTCGTGACAAAGATATTGGATATACATTGTATATGGATTCTTCTAATGGCCCTTCCATATGCATTTGTAATAACCTGACGACCCCGGTCTGTTTAAACTACAAGGTTGCTTGAGTTATGTTAGGCACTTCTAAAGATAGTCAAGCCGAGGCTTCCCTTGAATCACGCCTTAACAAGCTCGATGAAGTTGAGAGAAAGATAAGCCTAATTATTCAGCACGCTGGTAGTGCTCTCGAAGAACTTTCAAGAGATAAACCAACGGTAAAACAAGTCGAAAGTTGCACACATAACTTCCGAACAGTTGTTAAAGAAGTAGAGACGGAAATGAATTCACACATCAACTACCTATCACATATTTCCGCGGGATTACCATATGAAGGATGCACTTACGATAAAGCAATTGACCTCTACCAGACTCTTGACCGACTAGTTGCTGCCAAACGTCGTTTAGATTCCTGTTTGTAAAAGTCTTTAATAAAATTTTATCACAAATGATTTCACTTTTTACACTGTTCTTATGTTCATGATCATATTTCTTCCTGTTTTTGAACGATTTATAGGTTGGATAAAATGGAGTCAGACCCAGCAGTGACGAGTACTGTTTGCGAAGGTCTGTTACACCCAGAGAACAAACGGAACGTTCCTACTGATAGTCATAATACAGTTAGAAAGTCTAATATCATTTCAGACGACGGCCTTACCACCCAAAAGGCACCGTGGAGTGCTTTAAATGATGCAGAGACGGCGTCTAGTGTAGGCGAGTCGTCAAGGCGGAACAGCAAATACGATGATAATATGCCTGTTCATTCCGCCTGTTCCGAGTTCGAAATCCCGGAGATGGAGTTTGATGAATTTGAGTTGGAACTAGCTGCTGAAAAAGGTATGTTTAGGTTTTTTAAACTTGTTCGTCATATTCCTGGAGGCTTTCGAATTCAAGTGGTTTTTTAGATTTTTTATGATTACTGATTCTGTCACCTATTTTTGGTTTTGTTCTGTACCTCCACTTCCCAGTTTTTCTGTTGGTCGTGAACAACATAGTTAAGTGCTAGTCAAACTATTGGGGAAAGATGCGCCATCATGCTTCGGTTTGCGCGCCTGGGCAGTATTACAGCCGTCACACCAACCGAATCATGTGTGGCGTATATATTTGGCACCTTGTATCAGTGTTTATGCGTTTAAATAAGCGTTCGCTTCCAGACTAGGTAACCGTGATGGTATCTGAAACTGGCTATCACTAACTATATGGCTTTATCGTACTAAATGGATGTTTGGTAAGAAGGTCGAAATCTGTTTTTCCAACTGTGGGCAAGGATTAGGGCCCCTAAACACTTCAAAACAGTGGAAATAGAATCATTTGGACTGGTAGGTTTCCACCAGGAGTCTTTTATAATGATCATCCGGGGTTATAAGTTATTGCTATACTTCATTTTATTTATTTGAACACAAATATTGGTACAAAGGGGCACCGAAAACATATGCGCCACATAAATTATTCGATTTGTGTGAGGTCTAGAATACTGCACGGTTGCCCAAACAGAAGCAGGTGGTTTTCTTAGGAGGCCATACCCGAAGCCTTCGACCTAAAGATCTAATCCACAAGGCAGTGAAGCAACGTCAGCAGATGCAGTCACATGGTAGCCGGTGACCAATGATTGGTTCGTATACCACTCGTTCCCTCAGGATTCTGGAGCTCATGTGCACCATTGGTTTGGAATCGGGGTTTTCCAACTACCCTAAGTGGACCCTCCTTATCCACCAAACCCGGGTAAAGCGCCGGACATTCGGTTTTCATCCTCTCAATTTGGTAAACAACACCCCCACCACGGGAAGGCAGTGAGTAGGACTTCCCTGGCTAGTTGTATGCACGTGGCCACTTGAGAGCATTTCGAGATGGAGAGCTGACGCTCTACACTCTCGGCCTCACTAGGGCATTTTAATACTAACTACGACCTAGAATGTAGCGTAATTCTGTCTGAGTGCTCTCGTTTTCTGGCCTCATCAGTCTATGAAGGAGGATAGAATTCCTCTTTTGATAACCACGGTGAAGTCAGTTTGTTGACTATAATCTCCAGAATGTTGGCTTTCGTCATCGTTCAAATACTTAAATACTATTTTGCGTCTAGTTAAAGCTTCAGAACACATCTCACGCACCTCATTTGATGATTCATAGTTCCAACTATTGACTTTCCATCTTTGTTTATTACCTTAAGATATTCCTCACTCGTTTGTTCTGTTATGCGCGAGAAGTTATTGGTAGACATTTTAGACCAAATACAAATTTCCAACTTTTAATTAAATTTATACTACATGTAAACACCGCAATCGTAAAATATTATACAGATTATATGTTGGATCCAGCTGTCTACCAAATATGTCCATTATATTTTTATTATCAGAAGGGGTTTTGTGTGTGTATACTTTTATGAAACAAAAAAAGGAAAACTAGACTATTCGTGACTAGCTGGTTAAAATTGCTTTTATCTTATGATAAAGTCCATCACAAAAACACATGTTAGAAGAAAATTAAGTGTACATAGCGCACCCCAACCATTTTAATAAGTAGGAAAGGATAGTTTAACAGAATGCTTCATTATTGTAAGATGAAGTAACCTTTAGAAGAGGTCTGTGCAACTTATGTGGCCTTCTGTGGATACTTTAGACAATAATAATATACAAACCGTTGTTTTGCTTTCATATTGAACAGATTGTGCCGAAGAGTAAAAATAGAGACTGTTGACAGACGGATAGAGTATCGTTCGAATCTTGAATAACTGGTCATTTTACCTTGTAATTGTGGTTCAACACTAAAGATGCTTATTTATTTATTTGAACACATGAATATTGGTACAAGAGAGCGCCAATATATATGCGCCACACAAAACAATGAGAATTCGAAGAGAAGTAGAAAAAAAAACTAAGGAGCGCAAAAGAAAAAGAGAACAATGACGAAGAGATTGGAGTAAGGTAGTGTGGTAGTAACGACGGAACGAAAACGTACAATCAGAAGAAATCTTTCAGGTAAAGAAGACACACCACTTTTTATGAAGAAAGTAAAAGAAGGTTATAGCAGGATCGCCACTGGCTTCTATTCTGAGCCATATCTGATAACGTCTCTAGCCACTGTGTAGCACCATCTCTCAGACCCCAACCAGGGAGTCGTGAAGGACCAACAGAAGCCAGTCCTTTGCAGCTTTCTTTCATACCGCGACACCATGTCATGCACTGACCACCTCTCCGCTTCTTCCAACCAGTCCCAGAGTCGGCAAATAATGCACGACGTGGAATTCTCTGGGACGACATTCGTAGAACATGTCCAAGCCACCGAAGTCGGTGTTTCAAGATGGTGACACCAATTGAATTATCATCTCTGTGCCCGAACACACGATGCTGAACCTCTGCATTACTGACATGGTGTTGCCACTGGATGTCAGCAATCCTTCGGAGACAGCGATGATCGAACACAGAGAGTCGTCTAACGTCCTCAACTCGGAGAGGCCAGGTTTGACAAGCATAGAGCAGAACTGCTCTCACCGACGCGTTGTAGATCCGACCTTTTACAGCCAGACTAACATCACGAAGGCGCCAAAGGTGGCCCAGATTGGCATAAGCCGCTCTGGCTTTCACTATTCGTGCATTGATCTCGTCACTCACACCCCCACCAGCACTTATGCAGCTACCCAGATACACGAACTTCTCAACTACGTCTATCTGCTCACCATCCAGGGTGAGTACAGGATTAGAATCCTGCCAGTCTTGTAGAAGTACTTTGCACTTCGAAGGTGCAAAGCACATACCATAACTATGGACACTTATTGACAACTGATTAAGTGAGGATTGCATGCCTTGGGCATTATCGCACAGTAAGACAATATCGTCCGCATACTCAAGGTCGAGGAGTCTTTCTCCAGGCAACAGATCCACACCACCATTACTTACATTCATCAGAGCTGTTTCCAGAATGTCATCGATGGCAAAGTTGAAGAGGAATGGTGAGATTGGGCAACCCTGCCTAACCCCACTACTCGAATGGAACAATGGAGAGAGGTGGTTGTATGCCCTCACTCTGCCTGAGGTGTTTTTATATAGGGCTTTCAGGATGTTAATAAACTTCTCAGGCACACCCTTCTTCAATAGACAATCCCAGAGAACAGTCCTATCCAACGAATCGAAGGCAGCCCTGATGTCAAGAAACATTACGATTGTTGGCCTTTGAAAAGTATGGCGGTGTTCTAACATTTGGCGGAGGGTGAAGATATGATCAATACATCCTCGACCAGAACGAAACCCAGCCTGCTCCTCGCAATCGGAAGTAAACTTATCCCCCGATAGTTGTTACAGGAACGACGTGAACCCTTTTTAAAGATAGGGACAACTATCGACTCATTCCATGACGTTGGTACACTCTCTAGTTCCCAGACCTTTGTAAACAACGTCGTCCATTCCTTAGTCAGAAAGTCACCACTATCTTTAAAAAGGGCCGGAGGTAAGTCATCTGGGCTAGGTGATTTGTAGCACTTCAAGAGTTGGAGTTCCTTGCGGACTTCCGCCTCATTTTGTGGATCAGTCGTCACCGGCCATGGAGGGCAGGACAGTCTGACCGATGTTGCCGGAGCAGCAGGCCAGTTGAACTGCCCTTCGAAAAATTCTGCCCATCGTCCAAGACGTCGATGGATGTTAGTGATTGGCATCCCATCATCCTCGCAGATTGTTTCACTCACACCAGACTTCTTGCTGCCAGTGGCTCGGATGAGCTGGAAGAGCTTCCGGTAGTTACCAGATGCAGCTGCTGCTTCCAGCTCATTAGCACGCATCGACCACCAGGCTTCTCGGTCCTTACGCAAGCTTTGCCCAATTTCCTTACGTAACATCCTTCGTTTATGGTCAAACTCACGGTCACCCGGATTAACCGACGGGCTTCAATGAGTTGTAAGGAACCAGAAGAAACCCAGTGCTTAAAAGCGGGACGTTTCGCAAACCCACAACTGACTGTTCCCGCCATTTTCATGGCGTCATGCAATTGCAACCAATGCTCATCTATACTTTTCGGTGGAGTGGTAGCTAGCCTAGAAACTAGCTCGGTTCGATACTTACTTGCAACAGAAGTTGCAACCAGCTTGCTAACATCAATCTTTTGTGGTGGTCACTTCGTTGGCCACTGAAAAGTAAGGCAAGATTGGCGCAGACCAAGGCATGGTCAGAGTCCAGATAGGTACTCCAAAAGGAGCGGCAGTCTTGTACACAACCACGCCAGCGGTAGCTGATCGCGATGTGTTCAATCTGAGTCCAGGCTTGAGATGCAGAGGGAGGACGCCAGGTGGCACATCGGCGATGACTGTGCCGAAAGTTAGTGCTAGCCAGAAACAGGTTGTGGTCTGTGCAAAGTTGCAGTAGACGGTCCCCGTTATCTGACCTGCGACCAACGAGTCCCCATCGGCCACCTAAACGACTCTCTTCTGTGCCTAGACGCCCGACCTGAGCATTCAAATCTCCGGCTAGTACTACAATATCTGTCGAACGCACTTTCTGGAGAAGAACTGATAACTGGTGGTAAAACTCATCCTTGATTGCATCCGGGCTGCAATCTGTCGGGGCATAGGCGGAGATGACGAAAAGACATCGTTTCTCACGCCGATTTCTTCTCACTTTGATGGAACTTTCTAATCTAACAGCACATAACCGACTGTTAATGGGGATCCAATCGACTAGTGCTGCCTCAGCTCTAGCGCTTAGTGTGACACCAACGCCAGCAAGACCAGACGAAGATGCCACAGGGTCCCCGGATAAGCGCACGTAAAACAAGCTTTTCGAAGCGACAGATGGAGATCGAATTTGTAGTACTTCGCCAGAGTCTTGAATACGGGTTTTGTATAGACAACAAACATCAATATTAAGACTTTCCAAAGACATAGCCAGCCCTATCTGTTGTTCGACCTGCATAAATGTGCGAACGTTGAAGGCAGCCAGTTTGAATGGTGCACGTGGTTTCAGAAAAACTGCTTCAGTCCTCGTATTCGGTGGTAACATACAATTTTCAACCGGACAGTGACTCGAGAACGTTTAGATACAGTCGAATTTCCACCAAAGACGAGCCGCTGTATAAGTATAAAAGAGGGTGAATAATGTGGAAAATAATAATAATAATAATAATAATAATAATAATAATAATGACAATAATAGTAATAATAATAATAGTATTAATAATGACAATAATTGTAATGATATTAATCTGAATCAATTGTTTGTTTTCAAAGCGAGAAAGGTAATTTCCATAGGCATAAAGAGTTCATCAATTTGTGTGTGGGCTGTGATACTGCCCGGGTGCCCAAACCGAAGCAGGTGGTTATCTTAGAGGGCCACACCCCGAGCCTTTGACCTAAAGGTCTAACCCACAAGGCAGTGGAGCATCGTAAGGAGATGCAGTCCCATGGTAGCCGGTGACCAACGATTGGTTCATACGCCATTTGTTCCCGCAGGATACTGGAGCCCATGTGCACCATTGATTTGGAATCCGGTTAAAGCGCCGGACATTCGGTTTTCATCCTCTCATTTTCGTAAACAACACCCCCGCCACGAGAAGGCAATGAGTAGGACTTCCCTGGCAAAGGCTGTATACGCGTGGCCGTGTGAGAGTATTTCGAGAGGGAGAGCGGACTCTCCCCACTCTCGGCCGTACCAGGGCATTCAGGGGGCACTAAAGATGCTACTGTAAGCTGTTTTAAACACCGCTACAGTTAACTTGGCTTAAGAAACTAGTTGCGTGCCACTGAACCTCAACAACTTAGTTGGGTTTATTTGGTACATTATTACGTATGTTGTTACTATGTTATATATCGTGTAGAAAAATTCAAATTTACTTATTGTGGGTCGTTTTTGTAGAATGTTGTTATCTAACCTACAAACATGTGATTGTCTCCCCTCATAGGATTAGATTAATTCATAATCAATAGTAATCGTTTGACTATATAAAGACTGATCACATGTACTATCGGAAGCACAAATTCTTTCCTAAATAGCGTTTTTGTACACACATTCTTTCTCTATTTGATAGAGTTTTCGTCCGATGAACAGTTGTTTGAATCTGGTCGTATGACACCAGATGGGTTAATCGACGAAGACTTTGAACGTGAACTTGGATGCGCAGCTAAGGCAAGTAGTTCAGTTGTAGTTTTCACCCTTAGTAAATTTAGTTTTCTTCCATTTCCTCCCCATTCTTTCCATATATGTTCATCTATGGCTATCGTTAGTATATATTTAAATCAATTACTGACTCATTTTATGCTTATGAATATTCCGTACTGGCAGCGTCTTTTTTTACATATCTTCGTGACTGTTTCAAAGAGAAAGTGGGTTATCCGTTTCATTGCTTACTTGGGTTTCATACGATAGTTTCTTACCTATGAATACATTTTGTTGTGGTCCAGTAGCATAGAAAGGCAACTTTCAGTTATAGGGTAGTGAATTCCATCTATAAACCGCGTGTTTCGGCTAAAATGAAATAACTCTACTGCCTGATTACAATTTTAATCCAGTTCCCATTGCTTGTTCTTAAACTCATGCCATTTATTGAGGCACTACTTTTTTCTACATTTTACGATTTTGTCCTTGGTTAGAATGTATCAAAAATTAATTTCACCTTGAGAATCATTCACTAACGTTTTTTGCTTATAAATTTTGGTTATGTATGGTTTCAACTCAATAGGAGTGATCTATTCATGTGTAGTATTAAATTGTATTTATTAACTAAAATGTATTCGACTTCCCTAAATTGAAAATAGTATTGTGATTAGCACAGCTTATATTTTGTTTTAGTTCGCATAACCATTGTGGTTTTATAAATATACGCAATATATTTTTACCTACTCATTGGTTTTTCGCCGTTACTTAACGTTGTGATCCATGGACTTGGGCACCACTTGATTTACATTTATTAATAAGTCATTTGGATTGTGCCTTATCTGCAATTCGGGCAATTATTCTGTTGTCATTAGTTTTCACACGGTATATTTCGGCCCATAGTTTAGTGAATCTGTGGCGTTCGACTTCTAAATATCAGACCAAGGGCTCGAGTCCTGCTTTGCCTACTTCGATTCGGGAAACTGAGTAGTAGTGCGGTGTGTGTTATTTATGCGGACGTATATTATAAATATGTATTGAGCATGGGAAGTAGAACTCTCACTGAAAAAGGAAGAAAACAATGAGGTGAGAAAAAAACTGAAAGCAATGAAAATAACAACAGGAGCGAACGAACGATGGAGTTTGTAAGAAACATTTCAAAGAAGATTTGTAAATGATGTGTTTTGATGTATATTTTTCTTATTTCACCAAGCCACTGCGATCTTGCATTAAACAATAAATCGGTTATCACCACCTGAGTTCTCGTTCACTACATTAGTATCAATAGCCTCTACGCATAAAATGTGATTTAATGCCAAGTACGCGAGTCTGTATTTGGTGAGTTACATCATTAGTACACAGTTACATTATAAAGGAGCCTTAGCTATCATAGCTTTTAATATAAAAATGAATAATCTATATTTATACTGAATTATACTATTTAAACAATATTAATTTCAAGTAAATATTATTAACTTTTACTTTTAACTTGCATTAAAAGGATTGTAGGTTTAGTATGCAGGTGTTTTGTAGAGTTGTATGTTCATGTCGTCATGTAGCACGTAATATAAAAAGAAAAAAAACTAGATATTTCTTCGTGAAAGAAAAAAGTCATGTGCGCAAATCAATGTTGTGAAGACCAATGAGAATCTTAACAAAATCAATAGAAGTAGTCAACTTGATTGTTTTGTCCCAATTTTTTCACCTTGTTCTTACCATTGTGTCAGTATAAGTCAGACGGTTGAATTAAGCTACGTGGTTCAATATCGCTGCTGTTGTGTCACTAGTGAATTGTTTAAGTATTGTTAGTGTCGAATAAGGGCTTCTTGTCTTTGTTTAGAGTACTGGTAAATACAGTTTCACAGGTTGAAATCATGAGTCAGTTGAAGCTAGACCACCATTGAAAACCTGGAAGCACTGGACGGCCGTTTCGTCCGGCATTGGATGCCGGCTCAGTGGTCTAGTGGTTAAGTGCTCGCGCGCGAAGCCAGTAGGTCCTGGGTTCGAGCCCCGTGTGGTGCGGGATCGTGGATGCGCACTGCTGAGGAGTCCCATATCAGGACGAAACGGCCGTCCAGTGCTTCCAGGTTTTCAATGGTGGTCTAGCTTCAACTGACTCATGATTTCAACCTGTGAAAATTTCTAAAATTCTCCACAAAACCCATTCTGATAAATACAGTTTCATTGCTTTTTTACACAAACTAATGCATAAAGTAATTAAAAAAGCAGTAGAATATTCGAATATTGGTAAACACCACTTAAACCATTAACATCGATTTTTGCCATTTCTTCTATTGATCATTTTATTTTGTCTGCGTGTTTACCTTTACTGTCTGTTCATTTGTCGAAGTGAACTTCGGCATTGTTTATTTTTTCCCATGATATTGATTGTTGGTTTGTACATTGTTTTATCCTAAGTGTTTTCTAGTTAGTGATATGACGACTACTTAAAACCATTAAATCTACTTTGCTTTAAGCAATCGGTTAATATGATTAGTCATCACACACACATTGTAACTCAAAACTGAGTACATAAACGGTAGGATTAATAAATGAGTTGCTTCAGAAGCACTGCGTTATGGTAATTTCATCTTTCAGATAAACTCCGTCTTCTCATTGCTCTATCGAAGTTTCATCTGTACTGTGCCTTCATTGTCCATGACTTACAGACTATTTGGTAATGTTTCCGTCCATTCTAAAATATATTTCCTTCGGTTAGCGAACTGTATCAACCTCAAAAGGTCAGCTTCTGTCCTGCTTTCTACATTGTTAACTGTTTCTGATCCACCTCGTTTTCCATCTAAAGTTGTTAGTAATAAATTTGTGGCACCAGTTTTCGGCCACTGGATATTGGTTGGAATACGTCGACTCAATTTTTGTCACATTACGTGATTAGACCAATAGAGTAGCTAAAGAATTCTAGAAAATGGAGAAGTAGCAACGCGAATAATGTGGAGACGTTAGCAAACTCAATATAATACATTCTATGTAGCCGATCTTCCATTTACTGGGATTGATGGACATGATTTTAGATGATGCCCATACCGTACTTCCAATAAAACGTGGGCTCCAAAGACTGGCCACCCAAGTTTCCTCACTCTGCAAACCGCTGTTTCAAAACCCAATGTTCCTCTGACCCATCACGATCAACCAGTAATAGGACTTCTCCGTTACCAAAGTTACCCGATGGCAAGTTAGCCAACTGTGGCCAGTTCTTCAGACGTATATTAACCTCAAATTCACATCTGTATGAAGTGATTCGATGAGACAGCGACACTTGTCAGTCATATTCTCCTCCTTCGAACCCTCTACATTAACATTTGATATGAAAAGAAACGGCGATGTCCTTCACAATGGTTGCACCCACTACAGTTTTTGTATCCATGTCCTCCAAACCCACGGCCTAGTCTAAGACAAACAAAGCCAAACCCCTTTGCTTTTACCTGCAATCACGGGTAAAGCCAGCAACTGACGGCCTTACTATTTCCCGAATATGTGGCGTATTGAGATTTATAAGCCTCGATCTATTTAGGTTCAATTGATCGTGTAAAATAATTCATCCTAGCATTATGTATTCACCTATTAAAGGCTGCTAACTGACCAAAACAGCTTTGAGCAAATTGCACGTGGTGAGATGAACTCCCTACCCTCTAAGAAAATAGGTTCCCTGTCATTATCAGTGAGCTTTTCTGTTTACTTGGTCCATTTCGAAAGTCCCCAAAAGAGTTCAAATCTAATGTGTAGCTCATTTTTTTTTAAACTCCGTAGTACGATTTTCCATTGTAATAAGAAAATCTGATAGGGCTCCTGGATTGTCATAATCCACGTTTCTTCCATTGAATAAGTCTGTTCATCTCATGAGACACTGTGAGCCTGTTTGAACAGCCACCTAGGTATTTCGCGGTGTCGACAATAGTCTTCAGATGGTCCCGACATCACGCAACCCTCAATAACTCCTCAGACCTGCTACAAAAATCCATGAGATATGAAAGTAGTCCATCATCATACACCTTCAAAGCCGCGTAGATTTCGAACTGACTCATAAACTTCCGATAAGACATTGGTTCCCTATAACGATACCTTAGTTCTACGTTTGGTACCTCATTCCCTACCATGGTCAGTAGCAATACGGACTCATGAGTACTTTTACTGTAAAGATTCGTAATTGGTTGGTGCTCTCTCTGACCACCCAATTCACAAACATCTTTACTCAATCGACACCTACCGATCTCTCAAGGTGGCTCGTCTTTCTTAAATCTGTTCCACTCACTAACCAAGTTTTTACACTGGGGCCTACTGGGATCATCAGTATCACCGGATGTACTAAGATTAATAATTCGAGAGCTGTAATATGAAGATGTATTAAAAAGGACTTGTACAACAGTCGTACTGTTGACTGTACAGAGGTAAGATGTTTCCTTCAGACAACCAGTATAACAGCGATGCTGTCTTCCCACAGGGAAGGGTGGTGTTGGAAAAAGTCGACTCTAAAAATGCACAACTTGCCTTATCCCATGGATTTCCGTCTCCGGTGGTAAGGTCACAACAAGTACGGAGCAAACACAACACTTACTCACAAAAAGGTTAGGTGTAACCGGTTTCAAGCAGTTGTCCCTTGGGCACTGCAGTCACGCTCTCAGGTCGCTAAGACCACCTCCTACCCAATCTCAATTTCAGGTACCTCTAGAACTCTTCCACAGCCTGGGCAACCGGGAAGTGATAACCGCCCTCATACCTCTAATAGCACTCAAGATCACTGTATTCATAATCAATTTCCCTCTTTAATTCCTATTATTCCTCCTACCTTGACTTTTGACTTCCTCCTCAAGTGTCACTATGGCCAGCGATTCTAGTGCGCAAAACACTGTCTCAAGTCTACTGTAACCTCGCTCCAAACTACGCGTTTGAGCCTTTAACTTACGTCCCTTGTGTGAAATCGGCCAGAAGCCCTCCTTGGCTAAAACCCTAGAATCTCCTACCATTGATTTATGCTGTCTCCGAAACACCCATACAGGATCCTAGTGCGGTCACTC